AATACTTTTAACCAATCTTTTATTATTATTCCAAATTAAAAATGAAGTTATCTTTTATTATTTATAAAATAAAAAATACTAATATTTTAATACGAATTGCCTTGGCTATTTAGTTTAGGGGTAGAGATGTACTTGGGCAGTTACTTACTGTTCATTAAGGGGTTTGAGTTGCCCTTTGCCCAGTGGGGTCTTCCTACATGGAAGTTCTCTAAAAGGCCTCACATCCCCAAGTATCTGCTTACTAAACATGGGAATTGAATCTTATGCCCACTTTCAAGTCTTTAGTCCCCAAGCAAATGAGACCTATAATTATAAGCTTATGAAGTCCAGGGGTTTAGTGTATCCAAGAAGGTTATTTACTAAAAGAGAAACCGGACAAGCCAAATATGAGCATTCATGTTCAGTCTTGGCCGGGTTCGTGTAGATCGACTCTATGATGATCTTAGGTCTCCAATAATGCATACCACAAGTTGACATTTGGATTCATAGATCATGGTTCAGTATCATATACTTTCCATGTCATACATGAAGTACGATTCAAGATTACCTTCTCCCCAAAAGTTAGGCCTGTGTCCTCACTAAGATAGGAAACGTACACATAACATTTATAAGTGGACGAGCCTATCCGATGTGTGATGCCATTTCTTACCTGCTTATGGATCTCTGTCACCTTTGGTAAAAGGTACCATTTAAGGCCTTCTGAAGCTTAAGTTAACATTGGATTTCATAGGCTTTTCTTGAGTAACTTAGACCTCCTCAACGCATGCATGGCTGATGTAGGATTCAGAGTATCACAATACAAGCTTTCCTCCATGAATAGTTGTAGTTGTTCAAGTTGACATTTGAATTTCATTGCCTTATTTACGTATCCTAAGTCTTCTCAACACATTGCCAATATATGATTACAGATCATCATAATCTCCTCTCCTTTAAGCCTTCATATTTTCGCAAAGAAGTGGATCATATCATAGACAAGTCTTTTGGACCAGATTTTTGAAATTCAAAGGTCAATTTGAGTTAACAGTGTTAGCTTTGCACACTCTTTTCTTGATTTCTGAACCAATTTCAGTGATTGTGAGCATTGAAGAGTCCTTGGCTGACACTTGGATAGAAACCATCCCTAACAAGTCCTTGCAAAAGCATCTTCCCCGAAATGCGATCCTTGACAATGGATCCATAAGGGTCAAGAGTCAATGAACAGTTATTATCCTTAACAAACTGATAAGCAGATAAGAGATTATGTTTCATGAAAGGAACATGTAAAACATTGCTCAGTTTAAAGGAAGAATTTGGAGTGTGCAGAGATGAGGAACCAATATGATGGATAGATAATCCTTTACCATCTCCAATGTACATTTTGTCCTCTCCATTGTAAGGAGTTGGAGAAGAAATATTGGCTACATCATTGGTGATGTGGGAGGTGGCGCCAGAATCAATTAACCAAGGCTGAGCAGATTTTTGCGGAATGATGCACACACATTACAGCAAGTTTGGCTGGAGGAATTCGGCCACAGATATCCGGATTCATACGATTAAAGCAGTTCAATTGCCTCATGACTGGTAGAACCACAAATCTAACAAGGAACTTTGAAAGTGGAAGAACCTTAATAATTGCAATTGCCTTGATAATTGCGATTGCCATGATTGTTGGTGAAAGTGCCCCTATTATTATGAAAATTGCGATTGGAGGAGAAATTACCTCGAGCTAGCTTACCACGATTTGAGTTAAATCGGAAAGCAGAGTGAAATGGTTGATTCTGAGCAGCAAAAACAGATGGAGTAGGAAGCAAGAGAGGCTGAGATTGCACTAAGAAGGCGTGAAAAGGTTCAGTTGCAGATGAGGAAATAGCAGCCTTGCAGCGAGCCATAGACAACTCCTTGGTGAGTAAGAGGCCATGGAGTTCATCAAGAGATGTAGAAGAGAGCCGCAGCATGATGGAGTCAATAAAAGACTCGAATTCATCAGGTAATCCATGTAGAGTGGCAGCAATTAGGTCACGATCAGACACTAAAACACCAGCAGCTTGCAAGGAATCAGCAATTTCCTTGATTTGTTGAAGATACGCAGAAATGGACTGAGATCCTTTCTGAATTGATTAAAGTCTTGATCGTAATTGGTGAATATGAGCCTCTGAAATTCCACCAAAACGTTGTTCAAGCTTTACCCAGAGTTCTCGAGAAGAAGAAACACCAACTGTGAACGGAATGAGTTCTTCTGATAGGGTAGAATTGAGCCAGATCAATAGGTTTTGATCTTTTTCATACCAAACCTCGAAGGCAGGATTCATCGAGCGATCGGGCAAGAATGGTGAAGGACAAATCTCAGTGCCATCAATGATACCAAGAAGCTTGTATCGCCGGAAAATTGGAGCAAACAGTGCTCGCCATGGCAGATAGTTGGAACTTTTCAGCTTGATTGGAACCATACTGCCGATGTTGTGAATCGTAAGAGAAGTATACGAATTCAGAGGACTCGGATTAGAAGAGGAATTAGGGTTTTGGACCGAAGGAGAGATGATTGGAGAAGAAGACCCAGTGGGTTGCGATGCAGATTGAGCAGCCATAGCTTGCAGCGATCAAGATTCAAGAGAGATCAGGAATGAAAAAGTGAAGAATCAGAGAGAAGAAAGCAAGAATCGATCAGGAATTGATCGAGAGGTCAAGCGGAAGAGAAGGTCGGTGCTATAAAGCAGGGTGGCTCTGATACCATACAGGATGGCTCTGATTGTATTGAATGAATAATTCAATTGTACAGATGTGAATATATATAGCCTTAGCTGCCTTAGGCTAATTACAAGAATACCCTCAACTACCTTGACTAACTACAGTTACTAACAAAACTAATTACATTTAGCTTTAACAAACTATTTTAACAGCAACTATATTTGATGACTTGTCATTCTCCCTAATAGTTGGAAGTTGCATTAGATGAAGATAGCAAAGATTCAGAGATTGGGGGATAAAAAAGAGAGGAAGGAGGATCAGAAGAAATTGTGGCTATTCCTCTCCAGTTTATGTATATGAGCAGGACAAAAGAGAGTGGGCCTAAAAAAAAAAAAAATTGAGTGGACCTACTAGCGAACTTAATTTTTGCATCCCAAATGCTTACAAAAAATTACTCACATAACGAGGAAAGAAACTACAGGCAGAACTAAAAATGATCACGTAAAAATTGTCCAAACTAGGAGGTCTATTCTAAGCCTATCTAAATTTGCTGAAGGAGAGCTGATAGAACATTTATTCCTTCATTACCCTGTACTCTGTGACTCTGGCAGAAACTGTTTAGACCATTCTGTTTTCTATATGACCATGACTCTCAGTATTGGCCACACAAATATCAAAGGTACCATGCTCTTTGTGATCGCTACCACTGTACCACCACGGCCTCCACTAGAATAAACCATTGTTGACCTTCGTAAATTCCTGATCTTATAGTAATATAGCTGACATATGGACCTTCTGAGTTGGTAGGTATTCTACAGTTTCTAAAATTTTCTGTTGTTACCAGGTTATATCGTACGATCAACTTCTTGAGCAGCTTGATCTTTCAAATGTGCGTGAACTTGAAGACTTTCTTATCAATGATTGCATGTATGCAGTATGTGCCCCCCTATTCATTAGTGAGAAAAAAAAATGTCATAAATTACATTGGTTTTAAAAGAAAAGAATATATTTGTTCTCATTTATAGATGATTTCTTGCAAGCCAGTAATAAGGAAATACTGATAAGGTTGCAAGCTGAAAAGGCTAATCTTTCATTGTCTGATGTATAGGGCATAGTCAAGGGGAAGTTGGATCATTTGAGAAGATCTTTCGAGGTTGGATATGCTGCCTTGATTATTACATTTGACTCTTTTGATGATTTCCTATATGTTTTGGATTCAATGTTCTATCTTAACCATCATTTTATTTCCAGGTTCAGTTTGCAGCTGGGAGGGATTTGAGACCTGGACAACTAGGAAATCTGATACAGACTTTAGATGATTGGTGTGCATATTTCTGTATTTAGTTGGTCACTCTGTCGGTGGTCTTTTTCCCACTCTCATTTTGTGTATTTGCACTCTTCCCTTAATTTTATGCATTCATTCTCATTGGATTTATTCTAATACTAAACATAGAAATAAGAGAGAGGAGTGCAATGGATAAAATGGGAGTGTGGAAACGCCGTCTTCTTAAAATTCTCTCTCCAAGTCAAGTCCTTTTTTTCATGTTAGGCACCTTCTTACCTATGCGTTGCCTAATGGAAGTTAGACAGAAACCAATTTTGATCTAATGCGGTTTTATTTTTAAAATTATGTGCCTCAGGATGGTGGTACAAGTAATTTCACTAACCATCCTTTATGCACCCTTACCTGCATCTCTCCCTCTCTATTGGCGAGAAATTATACATCAAGGCGTCATTATAATGTTAATTGATCCAAGCATTACTAGGAGGCCATTTGATAACCATTTCATTTTCAGTTTTCAGTTTTTAGATTAGTTTTTTTTGAAAACTGAAAAGTGAAAACAAAAGCTTACATCATGATAAACAAATTGTTACCCGGACATTTTCTGTTCCAAAAACATTTTTTTAGTTATCGTATTGTAGAAAAGAGTACTGTTTAAAAAATCTTGAGTAGATGATGCTTATAGTAATAATTTGAAACTATCAGGCTAGACACTACGAACAATGCGCTTCTGACAATTGAAGAGAAGATCAAATGGGCAGATAAAAAGTGTGAGTTAGATGCAATACACAAAAAGGCAGTCAAGGACAGGGTGGAAGAAGTAAAGAAGTCTGTCAATAACAAGGTAAGTTGAATCCATCATCAACCTATGTAGTGATAATTTTGTTTTGTGTTATTTGTGATGCACCATCTAGGATTGCTTCTCTTTTCTTTGCTGCAGTCATAAGATGTCCTGTAAAGGAAAAAAGGCCAGGGCCGCCAGGCTTATCTGGGGGTGCTTGGTTCTGGCTGTGCCATGGGTGGTATTGTTGGAAAGAAATAAAGGATTTTTAAACATTATGTGGGAGTAGGGGTTGAGTAACAGGACAGAGCAGTTTTTGTCAGCTTTCTGGGCTTCATTTCTACTGAGTTTAGTGTCTACTCTTTTATTTGGCTTGACTGGCAGGCAGAGGTTCTTTAGTGTGTCTGAGAGTTTTCGGTTATTTAGCTTTTTGTTGTTTATCTTTCCTTCTTCATCTTTTCGGAATAAAACGAAGAAATATAAGAAAAAGGTAGATGAGATGCCTTTGTGGGTATGCATTAGTAAGTTTTTGGTTTCCATATTGTGGACTGCCACTATCCTTTATATGTCAAGG